TCAAAGTTACTTCAACTGATCTGTTCCTGGATCACAGTCCTGGAGAGAAATATCAGCTGTACTGCTGCCATCACACCTTGGTTTATAAATGTTAGGGCTTAGCCTGTTTTTTCAGTGTAGTCCGGTTTTTCTAAATGTCTTTCATCCTCTGATATGGAAACAGACTCAGAGCTCATCTGGCTGTGTGTTTCCTGGATGGGGCCGTCTATGGAGCTGGTTGACACTTGCCTTTTGTACCTCTGCTTCTTTTTGTATGTCTGCTTCTGTCTCCCCTAAGCCGAGTCGGTTTTACCAGATGGCCTCTCACACTGGGCCTGGTTCTGCTTAAGGTTTCTTCCTGTTAAAAGATATTTTTTCCTCTATACTGTTTGGTTTGAGGGATTGCTTTCGAGTCAATGAGTCGATGCAATCGACTGGTTTTCCTTAGATTTCCTTGAGATGACGTGTGTTGTGAATTAGCATTATATAAACAAACTAAATTGAGCATCACTGCCATGCATGTGTCTCCCAGCAATACTGAAGAGGCCACCTGTGTTCTCTATCAGACTATCGCTGAGCTTCAATCTGCAAACACAGAGAGAATTTTTATCATTGCAGGGAATTTTAACCAGACCATTTTGAAGACTGTTCTCCCTCATTTTAACCAACATGGATTTTGTAACTCTAGGACAGATCACTCTAGACTTGGTCTACACCATAATAAAAGTTGCATTCGGAGCAGCTCCCCGTCCCCACCTCGGCTCTTCAGACCACTTATCTGTAATGCTGATTTCCTGCGTACAATTCCCTGCTGATTAGAGCAAAATCTACAGGGAGGCAGGTGAGGGTGTTGACTGAGAGAGCACTTTAGGACTATTTTGAATGCTCGTACTAGAACATGCTTAAATCTGCAGCAATATATAAGCACAAGATCAATATTGATGAGTTTGTCATGACTGCGTCAGCGTACATCGAGAAATGCATTGAGGACATCAGCACCACAAAGAACGTCATCACCCGGGCCAACCAACCACCCTGAATGACTAAGGAGGTTCGACAAACGCTAAAAGCATGGAACTCGGCCTTCAAGTCAGCTGACAAAGAGGCACTGAGGTCAGCGACAGTCAACTTGGACCATGTCAAGTCCAGCAGCGAAAGCTGTTCCCCATCAGGGAGAGGAGGCACTCTGCCTTGACACTTGACTTGTGGAAGACTCTGAGGAGAGTCAACCCGCAGAAGGCCCCAGGCAACAACAGCGGCTGCTCTGTGTATACAAAAGGACAATAAAGTTTGTCTATCCATTTTCTTTACACGCTTGTCCCAAGTGGGGTCACGAGGGGTGCTGGTGCCTATCTCTAGCAGTCAATGGGCGAGAGGCGGGGTACACCCTGGACAGGTCGCCAGTCTATCGCAGGGCAACACAGAGACACACAGGACAAACAACCATTCATGCACACACTCACACCTAAGGACAATTTACAGAAGCCAATTAACCTAACAGTCATGTTTTTGGACTGTGGGAGGAAGCCGGAGTACCCAGAGAAAACCCACGCAAACTCCATGCAGAAAGACCCTGGGCCGGGAATTGAACTCAGAACCTTCTTGCTGCAAGGCAGCAGTGCCACCCACTGTGCCACTGAGCAAGTTGCTCTAATTCTAGAATAATCTAAAATAATGAAAGTGCTTTACAATATTCATTTAAGGATGTGAACACTCTTGCAACAAGGTTATTCAATTTTGTTGTCCATCTAGCATACTTAATTGTTGTTGAAGTAGATTGTTTAAGATAAATGGCAGAAATGGTTTATATAGTGTCAGTTTTTACTACAGAGATGTATCATACAACCCGGGTTATGTAAATATTTAAGAGCCTCTGTACAGAAAAATATATATACATTCCAAACTATGCTGAGGCATAACGTTTTTAACTTTTATGTTTTATCATAGAGCAACTCTCCCTTTGATAGATCATCTAATAACTTCCAAAACTCATTGGCTCATAGAAATGTCACATGAAAAGCACTTAAGACCAATATCAAGCTGGAATATCACCACCTTTTATTACAGCAACAATAAGCATGCTGTGAATTCATACTCATATATGAATTTATAAAAATATGACACCACAAACACCTCAGGCAATAAAACTGCTTTGGCGAGGGGGGAAAAAATGATCACTGCTTTATCTTACAGTTGATAACTAGTTTATAGATATCTTATCAATTAATCTGTAAACACTTTCATTCATAAATGTTTATTATGCATTCAATATATTATGCATGCTCAACAGATATTTTATCAAGAGCCTATGTTACTTTTAAAGTAGTAACTTAGTCTGAATGTTGATATAAGCAACGCTATATTTGAACAACGTACTCTCATCGTTTGGCAAGAAACTGATCATTTTAATCTCTTGCTATTTTTTTTATTATTGTTTTTAGTATTTGTAAATGATGCATATTGAACAGTTAATAATGAAATACAAAGTGTTTACAGATTAATATGAACATATCTATAATTTTTTTCAGCTGTCTTTAAGGGAAGCCCTGTTGAAGAATGGTATGGTGGTAATGATTTTGTATTTACCTTATTTATTTTAAAAACACTGAATTTGTTTTACTTCGCTGTCATTTTTACAATCAACGATTCTGAAAATGAATATTAATTATTAATCCTTTTTTATCTTTATCAGTAGGACAGCATTATGTATTTATAAAAATTTACAATTCTAAACTTACTTTTTCCACTTAATGATTTTTTTCTCAATAGGATTAAGGTCTTTAATGGCCATTGAACAAACTTGATCTGTCTTTGACCTGCATAAAAACCCAATGCAGACAGATTTTCAATATAATGTTAGAGTACACCAAATGTGAATAGGCTGAAGTGTTGGTCACCAAAAAGTATGATCATAGCATAAAGCCAAAGCTCTAGATTTGTATCACCTGCAAAAATGACTGCTAATTATTTTTCAAATATTTTCAAAATTATTACAGATTTTTCTTTAGGGCTAAAGGTATCATACATTGTTCTTTTGAAATCAAATGTACCTAATTGTGAAAGCTGTGTGAAACATAGCTTAAGTTTTCAGACTATTTCACGATTTCTGAAATCCTCAATTTTACAATTTCCTCGTCTCTTGTCTTTTATCCAATTCCCAAGTGCTTCACCTCATCTTATAACAGTGATCTTCTTTTATCTATTCTTTTTTTTTTTTTTTTTTTACTTCTGTGAAGTTTACTGCAGCTTATCTTGTGTGTCATATTCAGAGAATATTAAGCTATCAGCTTGCCATCTGGGATTTAGTGGGGAAGCCTGAAAACCCCTACTAAAAATACTTTGGTGTTTCTTCTGAAATCAATGATGATGCTCAGTAGGCTTTCATTAAAAAAAACAAAAGTGATTCGGGACTGTGCCTGATTATGTTTATGTATGTATCTTTCTCTATTAAATTTATGTAGAGGATAGGCTTATTAAAATAATTTAAAAATATATGTAGAATATACATATACATAATCTGTTTATATATATGAACAGATTTGGCTGACCTAAGCTGCCTCAATGTCAAAACATGATAAAACTCTTAAATTTTGAACTAATTACTTACCAAAATATTGTACTCCCATCAAAACTGCTGGTCTATTTATATGCTCTGCTCTCCAGCAAAACTCACCTTGGTTTAAGTTAGAGCATAAGAATCCAGGAGCAGAGTCAACAATTTAGACTGAACCGATTGAACTTATAAAGGAAGTATTTTACGTTTAAAAGAAGATGCAAATGCATCTGACAAGATGCATGTTTGCATTATCTATCCATCACAGGGCAGCACATAGACATAGGATATATGTCTATGTGCTTATATGAAATAAAACTATGCTTTCAGAAACAGAGAAATACAGTATCAATTCAGTGATACAGTGTCTGTGTGTGCAGCCAATCTTCCCGCATTCCTGTGCTTGCCCTGCCTACTCTCAATTCCCGTTGTTTTCTGACTCGGATCATATCTGGTCCGTTTTATGCCTCTCATTATTTCATTTCACCTCCATTTTGTCTACTCAAAGCCTGTTTCCAGCCAGCATCCATCATTCCGTCTGCTCAGACCCTGCCTTGACTCTTGACCTGTTCGGTCAACAATAAACCTTTTAAATGCATCCACTGTGTGGCTGAAACCCAAGTTCTCAGATCTTAGGATTTGTACCAAAGCTAAGATATTTTGCTGGTTCTCACTTCCTTTTTAACGCATGCTTAAGTTTAGGACTGTGGATTTAGTTTACATGAGGTTTAGGTTTTGAATGCAATGATAGTGGTCAGTTTTCAGTTACTGTCATGTCTATGGTATCGAAAGGATTGAAAACGACAAATAAATCAATGGAATTCAACACATGGTGCACCTTATATATAGAAGGTATGTTGTTGTGTGATAACCATACACTGACAAAAACACATAAGGTCAACACAGGAGGAAAGCATCTACTTAGTGGTCATAAACATGGAAAATGGCAATTGGAGGTACAAGGTAGTCCAAAGAAAAAGAACAGTGATGCAAAGAAATTTGTAAAGAAACTGAATGAGAGTTAAATCATTTAAACATCTTATTATCTAATTGAAAAAGGTACATGAATAGAATCTGAGAAAAAATCCAAACAAATTTATCAAACTTTCAAATATTAAATTCTTGAAGGTTGCTCCTTTTAAGTGGAAAAACAACAAACTGTCGTCCAAGTCGGCAAAATATGTCAACTAACATTAATATTAAATCAAACACTGATAAAAAATTGTCAGTAAAATTTGGTAAAAATGTAAATCAACCTGAAATTAATCCTTTGAAATCAGTCTGGTGTATGTGAAGTAATGATTTCATTGATGTCCTTTTTGACATGACTTCAGTATCAAACTTGTTAAGATTTCACTCAAATAATGATATTTATGTTATCTTATTGTTTTTATGTCAAAAGTTTGCAAATGAAACAAGGCACCATAATATTTTTCTGACATTTTTTCTATCTCTTTGTTCTCTGCAGGGATATCAATGCCAATTCCTGTGTTAGGACTCAGAGACCACTCTAAAGTGTTTAAAAATGGAAACTGCCTGCTGACAGATGACAATTTCGTACTGGTGGGCTCCTTCATTGCCTTCTTTGTTCCTCTAATCATAATGATTGTCACGTATTTCCTGACCATCAGCGCCCTACAGAACGAGGCCACACTCTGCTTGGACCGGCTTGTTCCAAGACCAAAATGGAGCACCACCTTCACACTAAGCTTCTTTCCTCAAAGCTCTGTCTCATCTGATAAACTGTTCAGGCGCTCTATTAGCCAAGAGGTTGGACGAAGAGTAAGCAGCAGTGGCCTAAATGGTGCTCGGTGCAGCTTCTCTGGTGGGATGTTCGGAAGGCGAACTATGCAGTCCATCAGCAATGAGCAGAAAGCATCAAAGGTGCTGGGGGTTGTGTTTTTCCTCTTTGTAGTCATGTGGTGTCCATTTTTTATCACCAATGTATTGATGGTTGTGTGCCACCACCACATTTGCCACCCAGAGGTCATGGAGGGTCTGCTGAATATTTTTGTCTGGGTTGGATATTTGTCTTCAGCTGTCAACCCACTGGTCTACACACTTTTTAACAAAACGTATCGCACAGCTTTCATGCGCTATATTCGCTGCCAGTATCAGCCAGAAAAAAAACCTCTTCAACTCATACTGGTGAACACCATCCCACCTCTGGCTTTCAACTCCTCTCAGTTAGCCCTGGGTGACATGCGGAAGTTACAAAATGGAACAATGCACTGTGAGAAGGAGGGAAGGGGAATCTGCTTGCCTGGGAGGGAAACAGAGCAGGATAAACAGAGCAAATGCGAAAGAGACAAAGATGAGAGCAGTGTGTAGCAAATGTCAAAACAAAACCCTGGTTTACAGTAGATCTGTACACATCCTTGTTCAGCTAAATCTCATTCTTCACCTCTGCAGTAATTTTAAGTGTGTTTGTTTTCTAAATAGTTTGTAACTGACTTTTGATCATACAAGACCCATGGAAACAGAGTAAAACCTATCACTAATTCTTTGAGGGGTTTATTGAAGATTCAGATTTTCAATTTGTGATCCAACTTCTTTATAATGAAATGTCTCCTTGTGAAGAAAGATATACAGTTCAAGACAACCAGGCATGAAGGATATAACCTTTTCTAGAGTAATTGTATTTTTGTACAAATGTGCTTCCCTTTGGCACTTACCTGGTATAAACACAGCAGCTCATACCCTCTGACAAATGCCTGACACCCTACCTTCCATCAAACTGAACCTTTGGGTGAATCATCCGGGATTATACTGGATTTGCTCCCACTTTATGAAAAGAAGGTGTCAGAAAGGGGAAGCCTGGCACACCTTGACTCCACCCACAAGGGTCATATTACCCAACCCACGATAAAAAAAACTATTCTGTTCTGCAGAACCTCTGTATGAATAAGAACAAAAATGCGATATTTTCAAGTGAAAAATGGTTGTTATTGTATTATATTGCCAACATGAAGACTTCAAAATGAGATTTTGATGGCAGAAAATAAAGTGAATTTAAATATTGATGTATTCCTTGTAAAATCTTCAGCTCATACTATATGGTGTTGTTAAAAAATCATTAGTGCACAATGTACATCGTCTCAATCATAACACATGGTGTCCAGTGCTCTGATAGATGGTTAACACTTGTTTAAAGTTTTGTATGAAAATCTGTAAATGTGGAACTTCTGCAACAGACTTCAAAAAGTGTCTCAATTCAGAATGCGGGTTGAGGCCAGAGTATAATATCGGATATCACCTTCTGGGGCTCAAGGTAATTTCAAAAGAAGTATGTTGTGTGGCATTTATAAAACAAACTTTTAAAATTCCATTGCAAAAAGTAAATGGGGATATGTGATCTGGTCTATCTGGCTTAATTTTCTGTTTTTTAACATGTAGACTATTTCAATAAATATAACCTTTTTTATTCTTTTCCTTGGGTTTTGGTCTTGCCAAATTACATTTTTTTTTTCAACCAGTTTGATTTCCTTGATATAAATAGCTTATTTCAGCATCTTTAAAATAAACATATATAATTTAAGTTCTTGTGTCCTTTTCCCTCATTTTTTTTGCTGCTATCCTACAGCCAGGTTGTGAAAAGTACATATCCGTCCGCTGGAGTATGTTGTCTACTGGTTATTTCACTTTGTATTAAGTTATCAAATCAACCAAGACTTGAAAAAGTACCACCAAATTGATCCATTTGCAGTTTATCATCATTCAGACTGGAAAATAGAAAACAGAAAGAGGATCATACAGATCTTACAAAATATGTTTATATATATATATATATATATATATATATATATATATATATATATATATATATATATATATATATATATATATATATATATATATATATATATATATATATATATATATATATATATCTATATATAGATATATATCTCTCTCTCTCTCTCTATATATATATATATATATATATCTCCCTCTCTCTCTCTCTATATATATATATATATATATATATATATATATATAGAGAGAGAGAGAGAGAGATACATATGCCTTTAAAATGCTTGTTTAGAATAAAAAAAAAACCTACTGAGACAATTTCTTCATTTGCGTCCTTTGGTCCATGTCAAAGATAAAATATTATGCCAAAATTCACTTTATAAACAATTTGTAACTGTCGTGTGACATGACTCATGAGGCTAATCTATAAGGTTCAGAAATAGAAAAGTAACATTTTAGCTCTCTCATTTCCTTTCTCCACCTCTTTGCACTCAAAACGAGCTGTTTGAAAATGTTTGACACATTCCTGGTATATCTCTGACCACTGTGGATTTTTGTTCCCCTAAACGAGAGGTACCACCAGTATTGTCCAGAGTGGAATTTAAAATACATTATTCAATATATATATATATATAAATAAATAAATCTAAAAATATCTCCCAATAAAAAAAATAAATATAAAACCAATGGCTTGAAGTTTACAATGGTTTTATTTTGTTTTAACAGACTCCTGCACCTTATCATTAAATCTCTCATGCTTTTTGGTTCTGTCCCAGCAGATATATGAACTGTTTCAGCATCTGATTTTGTGTTTTCACAAAGCAAAAAAACATCAAACCACAAAGTGCTTTTTTATATACATTATCCATACCGTTTTATATAAATTTCCGCTTTGAAAAGGAAAGGTAATTAAAATTTTACATTTTACAAATAATAAATGTATTCCAGCTTGATTAAACAGCTGGAATACGGGCCAGTTTACTCAAAATTAAAGGTTAAGAATTATTAGCCACCTGCTGTGTCTGGTAAATTTCTTTAGACCACATGCAATGTCTTACAATAGTATAATATGTTTTGTTGCTTGACAACATGGAATTGAGATTGATTGTTTAAGATTTTCAAACAGAGGTCCAACTGTATTTATTTGACCAAAATTAGGCAATTTAGAAAAAAGGATCTGCTGTTAACATCATCTAAGGCAGCAACCTCAGTAGGGAGAAAGCACAGGTCTGTCTGGCGGAGGATGACAATGAACATGTGACTCATTTACCTGGTCTTAAAGTTCTGTCCATGCCAAGAGGACGAGGTTGGTTTAAGCCGCTCGGCTGCCAACAAGACATGGTGGGCACTGCCTAGATAGTCCGAGACGCTGAAGTCCCAGAGGTCAAAGAACAGGCAGGAGATCAAAGCTGAAAAAAAAGAAGGAAGGGAGGATAATCAGGAAGCCGAAGCTAAAGTGTTTAGGACGTGCTCAGGAGTCAGAGCCAGGAGATCCGAGGTAAGAAGAGGTACTGAAAGGTGATCCAAGACGGTGTGAGGAATTAGCTCCAATGGTCAATACACAGGGAGAGTCCAATAGGAGCCCGAGGACAGGCAAACAGATAAGAATGGGGAAAGGCAGGCTTAGAGTTCCAGAGGCAGAAAGGTTCAGGATCAGGCAATCAGACACGCTCAGATATGCTGGAGAACTCTCACCAAAGGCTTGAATAATCTAAAGAGGCTGGATCAGGTTAATCAGATGAACAGTAATGAGAAATTGGGCAAAGCTAGGCAGGTAATTGAAACAGGCCAGTCATCAGCGCTAAGATCATTACACAGAAGCTATACACAAGTTCTTTTTTTTCAAAAATTTAAACAAAAAATACAGATACATAACATGATTGCAAAATGCATTTCGTGCACAAGAAACTCTTTTCCAAACATTTATTTTTTTCAAAATACTGTAAGACTTGAAAGCAATCCTTTGAAAAGGGTAAAGAACCTTCACTGACAATATATTACTTTGCATAATTTAGTTTAGAGTGTGTTTACTGCTTTAAAAATGTACTATGTTGATTATTGCAAAACAAACTATACTTTGGACATAACAAACAAACAAAACTTAGGATGAATAACTGCTCAGCTCCTTCTAAAGTCTGTACTTTGTAAAGGCCAGCTTGCAATAACAGCTGCTGTGTGACTTTGCATAAGACTCTTTAAGATTGTCGCATTTTGCAGGAGGGATTTAAATGGAATGACTTCAATTAGGGGATAGTAAATTTGATTGAAGACTAAACCTTGATTTTGCCATTCTAACACGTTTTTGATTTTTTTCCTTTGAGGGTGTTTTTTTATCAGTATTGTGTATTTTACGTGTTATTATCCTGTTGAAAGTTATACATACGCAGCAATCTCTCTCTGGTAGATCGATACAGAGATATTCTATTGCTCGGCCAGAGACAGTGTTTTCCTTAGTGCCTTAAAAATTCAATTTTTGTCTCAATTGAGCACCTTCACCAATACATTTTGTGAATGTCTTATAGCAAATTTGAAATGGTCGAAATGCTCTATCATTTTTTGACAAGAGATTGTTTCTGCACAATCTTCCACTAATCCAATATAAATATCAGATCTATATCTACATGTGACTTATTAGGGTCCAATAGAGTGCAACCTCTGCTCTGTCTCTATGATTAAAGCCATCCTCACCCTGCTTCAATGGCTGGCTGTTGTGGTTTCCATTTGAAGATAATGAATTTGATGATACTCTCGGGGAACATTGCAGTCAGTTTAGCTAATATTGTATTATGAATTGAGAAGTTCTCTATGATATTTTGCAGCTTGGAAGAGTATTGTATAATACTTGACCTGTCTGCTATATTGCTTTGACTATGGGTGTAGGGGCAAACCTCTGAGGCCATCACAGAACAAGAGGACTTTTACAGCGATTATTATGAAGAATGAGGTTTCTCCACAGAAAAAGGCCAAGTTCACAACAATCACACCTAACACATTTTGAGAGTCAAAAAAGCATACAATTGCCTAAACTTTGACACTTGTGCATTTTGAAGTCAGATGCTCTAAATGTTCAACAATCAATACTCTGGACGCTCAATGTGAGTAGCAATTGAGAGAGAAGCTCTGATTTATCTGCTTTAATGAGCAGGAAAATGCTATTTTAACACATTTTTAAGTGAGAAAGCCAAGGCGTATGTTTCATTTCAACTTTGGTAGGCACACTATTAGTCTCAAGTTTCATTGGTCTGATATCATTGATCCTATGCAAAAATATGCATGCTCTTTTTTATGCTTGACATGAGCATTTAGAATAATAACTTCACTAAAAAAGCTGTAAATTTGGGCTGTAGTTACTCTGTTTGGCCCATTCCAGGCGCCATCTTGTATTGTTATACTCTATAAAAGAAATAACACCTGCTATTTATAACTGAACTGCCTCAAAGGGTCATAAAAAATAAAAACGGTAAATAGCAAAGAAATACTGGTAAAAGGGACACCCTCAATTTTTCTTTTTCAGTCGGCTGTGGCCAGGAATTCGAATTTTTGATGGCTCTTTGCTTGTCCATTCTTCCAGCAGTCTTTAGAACTCCTGTCTGACTCAAAATACTATAAAGGTTTTTGTTAATAAAATGTATAATACTTTAGAATTAAATATTATTTTAAGATGCTAAGTTTGGTTCCACAAATCAAAAAACTCTCTCCTGCTTCTTTACAGAACTGCAATCAGCTGCTTTCAACTGTTTTAGCATAGATAATATCTTTTTTTTTTTTAATTGGGACTATTTTCTCAGCCTAATATTAACTGTAGTAACTGCGGTATTTTAGCATGAATAAGATTTTAATTTTGAGATGTAAGCATGCATGCACACACATAAAATCTAGAAAACAGCCAATCAGGATGAGAGAAGGTTAAGGCAGAACAAACAATGAGAGTGGAGGTAAACAGCGCAGCACAGTCACATGCGCCGCTACATGTAAGTTAAAGGAACAGGATAGACCAGGCAGGCACTCGGACGGAGCAACAGCTTCCAGGCAGCGGAGCTGCGAGAGGAAAAGAAGCAACTGCTGCAACAAAGCTGTATTGTAAATTATAAAAATTTTGTTCACATGGAATTATTGGTAGGGCCAAGTAGGTTGGTCCAAAATTTTGGTAGGGACAAGTCCATGTGGTCCCAATAAAAAACCTTCGCCTATGTGGCAATGTAAAACTCAAAATGCCATTTGTGCAGTCTGTTCATCAGGATTATGATCCTACCTAACCTCCTCCCACTTGCAGTCTGTTGTTGACTCTTCAGCTATCCCTCACACCAAGCATGCGTGCAGCAGCAGTTAAGAGGAGGAACTCCCTTTTAACAGAAAAAAACCTTCAGCAGAGCCAGGGTGAGTGTGAGTGACCTTCAGCCGAGGCCAACTGGGGTTCAAGAAGACATAAGGAGATGCACAAAAAGAAGCAGAATAAAAAGAGCAACTGTTAACTAGCTCCACAGGTGGCCAAGTGTAGGAAATACTGTTTCCATTCAACTGAAATTTGAGTTTACTTTTTCAATTTCGCAAGAAAGGAAATGTGAATTTGCAGTGTTTCCATTTGATTTGAGACAAATTAACCAAGCACCACAAAGGCGTCCTATGTCGTCATCCATATTGTGCCTTTACGTATGCAAATCAGTAATGGAGAAAAGTTTTAATTAATGTGTTGCAATCTTGGAGTTGTTCTTATGTTAACTCTATCCCAGTTAGCAATGGCGATGTTGTTTCAAACCATATGTAGC